AGAAGAAGAAGAAGAAGAAGAAGAAGAAGAAGAAGAAGAAGAAGAAGAAGAAGAAGAAGAAGAAGAAATACAAATGACCAGTGAATCCAGGAGAAGATGCCCAACTCCACTAGTTACAGGGAATGTAAGTCAAAGCCACTGCAGACAGCACACTGCCAGGGACAGCATGACCAAGTCTAGGGATAAATGGCCAAACATGGAGAGAAAGGGAACCTTTGTACCCTGTGGATGGGATGTAAATTGGTGTCATTATCATGAAAACATGTGACCCAGGGATTCTTCCTGTGGGCATGAGGGTGTGAGAAGGATACAGGACCACATTCAAGTACAAAAACTGATATCCCTACCTCACTGAAAGACCTGTACTCCAGACTGGCTGCAGAACTAGTCAAAAAAAATAAAAAATAAAAAATAAAAAAATAAAAAAAAAACTAGTTCATGTAAACAGTCAAAGACAGACAGACAATAGAAAGGAAGAAAAGAAAGAAAGGAGAGAGGGAGAAAGGGAGTTGAAGCATGTAATTTCATTGGCCCATGAGAAGACCTTCCAGGGGTTATGTTATAATAAGCTGTGAATAGCAGCTTTCTCTGGAGGCTCCAAAATGAAACCACAGCCCTGACTGCCAGGAACAGAGGCAGGAAGGGGGGTCATGTGACCGTCTTGTGCAGGACCAATGGAATACTGTGTGTAACCACAAACGTTTTCTTCCTTCCTCCTCCCTTCCTTCCTTCTTTTTAGACAGGGTTGCCCTAAGTAGACCAGGCTGGCCTCAGACTCACAGCAATCCTCCTGTTTCAGCCTGCCAAGTGCTGGGATTAAGAACTTGAGCAACCACTCCCAGCCGGCGCTCCTTCCCAAAGACAAACGCTGTCCTGAGCTCTGATGTTAAACACGGTGAAGAAGGCAGCAGAGGGGAGCAGGTCAGAGGGCTGTGGGCAGAGGGAGGAAGGCCTCTGGAAGGAAGAACAGGAAAAGAGCTTTGGGGATCCTACAATGGTGTCGCTGCCAAGAGCATCACAGCTATGGTGAGCGCTGTTCCTCCCTATGGAGGAGGTGACCGAGGCCGTGAGAGCACAGAGCTGACCAGATGAAGAGTCAGCTCCTACATGAATCAGGGCCTTCATGGACGCCCAGGCAGCGAGATCCAGGCATGCCTCGGTCCGCTTGCTGCTGCTGCAGGACCCAAGCCCCGCAGGCCACATGATTTCTAAGGTCTTCATTCTGGAAGCCAGAGGTCTACACACATGGAGACAGACACTGTCGAGGGCCTTGGTACTGCCTCATCACATGGAGACTACCACACCATGAGCCAGAGCAACTGAGCCCCAGCAGGCTTGGTTGGGCAACAAGTCACATGAACCCACTAGCCCAGGAATCTGTGAGTGAGGTCTCTCTGTCACAGAGTCCATATGTCCACTTCCTCCCAGGGAACCCAACCCCACCGTGACACTGAGGATCAAGTTTGCAACACATGGAACACAGGACAGTGTTTACATAGACAGGGACGGTTATAATTAAAACTGAGCTCAGGGAAGTGAGTCCTTATCGGTTAAAATGAACCATGTTTTGAAGATGGGCTTTATCAACAGAAGACCGGTTCATAACCTGAACAGGTGGAGGGTCAATGTGCACAACTCTGGTACACATTGTATCTGGTGTAGAGGACAAAAGAGGTTGCCAGTATTCTTGGAAAAATACCATATCCCTAAAAGAAGTATGTCATCTAGCTTCCTGACTGAGCGGCCCTCACTTAGCTTACTATAATTTAGCTTTGGATACACACACTCTGGGGTGAAAATGCGTGGACACAGCTCTTTAAATCTCTTTAGTAACTGAATGTTGACAGTATTTGAAGTGTGATCTGTACATCAGTCCTCTATGAGTGCATTTAGTGGGGTTCACCCCACTTTTGAGATGATTTTTGTAGACTTACAAGAAGATTTCAGATCTAGATCCCTAGAAACGGCTCTTAAACTGCTCTCCCTGGTAAGGTCTGCCTACAGTACCCAGTCAGAGTGGTCAGGAGCCTCCCTGTGTTTTGACTGTAATGACTCTTTTCAAAATACATATTTTTAAAAACTCACTGATTAGGGTTAATTAAACAAACCACCTCAAATTATTCATAATATTCGAGGTTTGTAACTACATAGAACACGTGGAATGTGCTATTATATTCCTTCATCCTTGCCATTGGTCCTTAGAAAATAGTTTTAATACACAGAAAATTCCTGTACATAAATAATTTCACAGCTGTGTGTGGAGGAGTGTCTGACATGCCTACATATCTTTTACAAGAGCCTTGTTGTTGGAAGCTTCCTGCCTTGGATCTTCCACACTCTAATTTATTTAACAAACTCTGCTTCATAAACAATTTGGAAGTAAACATTAAGCCTGCCCCTTGGAATTTTTAAGTAATTAAATATGAATAATGAGTTATGATCATACCAGGCACTGGAAGATGTTTTTCTAAGCAGACTCCACAAGGGCTGGTGAAGGCAGGATGGAAACCTGGCTTCTCTGCCCTCCTTCCAGGTCTGTCTTCTTCACTTTGGCTCAGAAGCCAGATTGACCCTGCACATAGGCCCTAGACACTCAAGGAGTGTCCGTCTTCCTGCCCCATCTCAATGCCCTTTGAGACTAAGGGCACAGAGACATCATTGTCCTGAGCCTGCAGTCACCTTGGATTCTAAGAAAAGAAGCCCTCAAAGGGCACAAAGTCCCCCAATGAGGGCAATCACCAGTGAGGGTCCAGCTGCACTCTGAGCAGAAGTGATCTCTGCGAGAACTCATTGATCCAGTCAAGTGATGGTGGCAGCAGCAACTTCTTCAGACAGCCTGGCCTAGAGTGGTAACCAGACAGAGCCTTGACCAGGTCTTATAGTTATGACCCAGTCTTACTCTAGTTAGACCAAGAGCTTGTGTCAGAACCCTGAAGACAGGCGAGCTCACTGGGCCCTCATCTGCTCCTCTCCCCACTGTGGCCACCCTAAAAACGTCTCCTTTCTCTGCTCTTCGATCTCAGTCCTCTCTCTAACTGGTGTATCAGGATGTCAAGCCTGGTCCAAAAACCTGCCAGGGTCATCTGAAAACCCTAGTTACATATATAATAATGAATGTAGCTTCAATAAACAAGAAAGGCAATCCTGTTTCTTTACAGCATGAAGATAATTCTGTTCAAACTCACGGGCTCTGTGGATCCTGTTTATAAACCTGCACTGATTTGCAAGAAAAATCAAAGACGCGGGAACTATAGCTCCCTATAGAGAATTTTGGAAGCATCATAGTTTGCCTTTCATCATAAAAATGTATTAAGAACCAAGAGCTTAAACAGGTGCCTAGTTCAACAGCAGCAAGCTCTCTCTGACACACACCCAGCTTAGGAGCTCAGATCTCAGAATGCCACCTGTCTGTCCACTGGTTGCTTATCAAATAGGCATGTTTCATATAAGTTTGTGTATGCATGGGTGTGGATGTGTACATGGGAATGTGTGTGCATGTCCTCATGTGTGGGTGTATGGGTGTGTGTGTGTGTGTGTGTGTGTGTGTGTGTGTGTGTGTGTTCCAGAGATCATCTGGGACCTCAGTTTTTGAGACAAGATCTCTCACTGGGACTTGGATCTTGACAAGGCCAGGCTGGCTGGCCAGCAGTCCCCAGGAGCCACCTCTGCCTCCCCGGTGCTGGGTTACAGGAAGGCGCCACCAAAGACGGCTACTTTTACGTGGGTGCTGAGTTTGCACTCAGGATCTCATGCTTGCAAGGTGAGCCCTTAGATAACTAGGCTGTCTTCACTGCCCCAGGTCTCCAGGGCTGCACAGGGAAACACTTGCCATTATGCAAAGTTGCAAAGTAGCTGTTGGCTCTGCCTCCTCCAGCCCCCACTCCTGGGGAGGTGCACTTTGGGGCACCCCAGAATACCTTTGTGGTGACTCACGGTGAGTCACCGAATTCTAGGTCAGACATCACATTGCCTGTACTGTTGGAGCCTGAGACACACCGGGAGAAGAGAAGCCGCCTCTTTCTTTTGGAACTGAGGTACAGGCTGCAGGGGGCTGCTGTGCCACTGGCCCCACCCACCCTCCCCATCCCCAAGCTCCCAGCTCAGCCTTGGGGAAGCCACACACTCTGAGCTGCCTAGGAAAGTGGCAAGCACTTTATCTTTGTGAGCCTCCTCCCCAGAGCCTCCTGGTGGGACCCTTTCTGCTTTCTCAGCCTGCATACCTTACTGCCAGTGAGCCTGGAGTAAAACCCAAGGCAACATGAGGTCTGCCAGCACCTGGAACCCCATCTCTGAATTCTGCAGAACAGAATTTGAAAGTACTTTTTCAACAGCTTCCTGTCTCTAGAACATTCCCATGTATATAAATGCACTCGGGTCTGTGGCTGGCCACACAGGAGGATTTTGACAATTCAGAGGACGTCTGGCAATTTCTGGACACATTTTGGTTGTCACAACTGAGAGCTGGAGAGGGGGTGGGCTGCTGCCAGAACCCAATGAGATGAGATCAACGATGCTGCCCATCACCCTACCATCCAGAGGATACCCACTACCATGCAGGGAACGCCCGTGCAGATGACACCCCACCACTCACACAGAGGACCTCCCACAACCACAAAGAATTATCTGGTCCTCTGTGTCGATATTGCAGACACTGTGAAACCCCAGCCTCAGTAACAGACTCCTTCAAAATAATCAGAGCCCATGCCACATAAACATGGCAATGTTCCCCAACATGAATGACATTACAGAGAATCTTTAAAAAAAAAAAAAAAATCCCCTCTGCAGAGCCATCTGAAAAGATGTGGACCTTCAAGAAGAAATAATGACCATGAGGTTCCCAGCTGGGCTTGACAAGGTGCCAATGTTTACCGGGTGCCCAGGGAAGCTGTACATTTGTAAGATTGGAAATAATGGACCCCTTTGTAAAATGAACATAGCAATTTGGTCTTAATGGGAGCCCTGACACACTCCACCTCATTTCAGTGAACCATGCATTAACCTCTGAAACTTCAAAAATGGAAGGCAACGTTTGGATAAAGGCTTCTGAATTACAGGAAAAATATTAGCAGGTCATTAAGTCGCCAACACAAGGAAAATAATCAGCTTCGTCATGGTCAATGTTACTGGAACACGGATGTGAGAAAGGCTGGCGTGTTGTTTGGGGAAATTAATCTCTTATGTGACAGGCTGCAGATCAACTCTCACAGCCGCTCTCCCTTCCTCTTCAGACACAACCATAATTACCGAAATGTGACAAACTGACTACAAAACCAGAAGCCACACTGTGTGCACTACACCTTCACACTCTCGGCTTTGTCTGTGCTCAAGATCGGGGCTCTGGCGAGGGGCTTATTAAATCAAACCTCTGCTGCTGGTCTCTCAGAGATGACGGGCGCAGTCCAGTCCCAAATGTCTACAGTGAGTGCAGAGTATCTGCCCTGCTTGTGATTAAATGAGGCTGGGACAAGCTCTCAAAGGCAGGACTGTTTTGTCTCACCTGTAGTGGAGATAAGGAGTGAGGAGGAAACCAGTCCAGCCAGCTTAGAGCAGACTCCTAGTTCCTGTGTGCTCGCTCTGTAAAGTGCCCTGTCGGTGCTCACCCACTCTGCTCACACAACCAGCAGCAAGGCCATCGAGCACAGCAAGAAGCAGAGCGGACGGGAATCCAGCCACACAGCGGCAAGGTTCGGTGGCTGCCCTCCTAGGAAAAGCCACTTTCCCCAGAACTGGGGTTAAACCCAGGGCCTCACACCTGAACTCTGTGTCGATGAGCGACACCTCCAACCCTCCTCATAACTTTGTATGACATTAGTCATCCTGTGTGTAGAAGGGCAGGTACCACAAGGCACAGGCGGGGGTCAGAGGACGTCTGTGAGCTGGTTTTCTCCTTCTATCAGGTGGGTCCTAGGGACAGAGTTCAGACCCTCGGGCTGAGCAGTGAGTGCCCACAGAACCATTTCACCCCCTCCTTTAAGACGGGTTCACTAAGTTGCCAAGGCTGGCCTTAAACTTGTTATCCTCCTGCCTCAGCCACTGAGGTAGCTTGGAAGACAGGTCTGCACCACAGGCCCAGCCACCTGTATTTTTTCTAACCTACTAACACCTTTTATTCAGAGTTTCTGTAGTTTTTATTGAGAGTTTCTTCTCAGGACACAAGGTTGGGTAGGCAGACAGACACACAAGGAAAGTGAGTCTCTCCAGACGTCCAGAAGTAGGCCCGCTGAAGAAGCTGCCCAGAGCATGACAATGATACACAAACAGCAGCAAGTGGGCTCCATGCCTTCTCTGGCCAGCACCGAAACGTCAGCCGCACAAAGACAAACATAAACAGGCCTAACCGATCCCAAAGTCAACGTCACTGGGCGGCAGCTGACCCTCACGGCCACTCCTGCCCTCACCCTGACGGTGAAGTAGAAAGAGGAGTCCGATGGGACGGAGTCAAGTCCAGAAGGCCTCGTGGATCTACTAAGCCATCAAACACAAGCCACGCGGCTGGGGAGCCACACAAACACTGCCACCATCTAAGTCAGGCACGGGGCTGGGACGAGGGTCCGTGGGTGGAGCAAGGCCCTGTACACATCAGGTTCCACGCCCGACACACATAAAGCCAGGTTCAGGGGAGCACACTCGTGACCCACTCAGCTGTGAATGGACACACGCTAGCTAGTTCCATGTCTCAGGTGTGAAAACGCTGCAGTGAATACAGACATGAAGGCCGAGCATCAATACACCAGCTTTGTTTGTGGGGGACTGTCACCCAGTGGCGGGGCTGCGGGCTTGGACTGCAGCTGTATACTTAATTTTCTGAGGATCACCACACTGTATTCATAGCGACTGTCTATCCCACCAACCATGCCCAAGGCCCCTCTCCCTGGAGCCTCACCAGCAGCTGTTATGTTGTCTTTCTGACAGGGGTCACTCTGGCTGGAGCGAGAAGATGTTGTGATGTGGTTATTTCATTTTCCTGATGGTAAAAACCATGCAGCATGATACTGTCCGTGTGAGGGGTTTTAGACAGCGCAGGAGACAGAAAGCACAGACACGTGTATTACATCAAACCGCAGAGCAAAGGGAGCGGGGAACAGAGGCGGGACACCTCGGAGGAGGGGCGAAACGTGTACACCCAACCAAGGGTAAATGCCCAGAAATGATTCTTCCTAGTTCAAATCAACAGCAGAAGAATAAACAACCCAAAGAATGAGCTAACATTCTCAATAGACACTCCTCAAAGGAAGACAGACAGACAGATGGGGGAAATGTTTGTGGTGGTTGTTTCTAACGTTTTGCTTTTGTGTCTGTTTTCATTTATTTGACTAATTACAGCTATGACTGTAACTAATGGCAGGTGTCAAGCATCTTCGCTGACAACCATTCAGGCCTGTTAACAGCCCCCTGGTGACAGTGTCAATATGTCTTCCTCCTGCCCGACCAAAACTGTGCACCCAAAGGGCAGAGTGTTAAACAATAACATCACAGGTGTGAAAGGGGCGCTGCTCCCTTCCCCACATCCCACTCCGCTACCTTGGACAGAGAGAGGAGAGAGAGAGAGAGAGAGAGAGAGAGAGAGACAGAGACAGAGACAGAGAGACAGAGAGAGAGACAGAGAGAGAAGAGAGAGAGAGAGAGACAGAGAGAGACAGAGAGAGACAGAGACAGAGAGACAGAGACAGAGAGAGACAGAGACAGAGAGAGAGAGACAGAGAGAGAGAGACAGAGAAAGAGAGAGAGGAGAGAGAGAGACAGAGAGAGAGAGACAGAGAGAGAGACAGAGAGAGACAGAGAGAGAGACAGAGACAGAGAGACAGAGACAGAGAGACAGACAGAGAGACAGAGACAGAGAGACAGAGAGAGACAGAGACAGAGAGAGAGAATGTGGCACTCCTGCAGGGCACTTCAAAATATCGGAAATATTACCCATGTCTCATGGATTGCAGTTTTAATTTCTCTACTCAAATAGAACCCAAATCATTTTTTATGTTTTTTATTATTATTATTATTTTAATGCCGAATGCCGTTTATTGAAGGAGGGAGGAGGTCTTAAATACAGGCTTACAGCACAATGGGAGAACCTCAGAGGGCAGAAGTTCGATACCGATGTTTTACAATCTTGCATCTAAGCTGTTAATGCCCATTATGCAGGATACATAGACAAGGAACTTCCCTTAAGCATTCAGGAGGGTGAAACCCGGGAGGGAATTAGCATAGGGAGGATATCAAGGTCAAGGTCAGCAAGCAAGGCAACAGTTACCCAAAACAGGGGCCAGGGCCCTACAGGTCCTTTTACTAATAAATGAGGTTCTGACTTAGGTTGCATGGGACGTCAGCAGGACACCTTACCCGTCATGGAGACGCCTGCCCCAAATCATTTTAAAGCCAAGATGCGAATCATCTGTCCTATCTTAACAACTTGCCATAATTCCACTTTTCTGTACTTCTGGAAACTGAACCTAGACCCACCACAGAAGCCTCAATGTCTTGCAATACATGAGGCGGGGATGTCCCTTAGTGCCCCTGCTGGGGGCAGATATCAACTGAGCCCTCCTCTTTCGCTTTCTTGACCATCAATTGAGAGATTCTGTCCTGGGGTCCCCAGTCTTCAAGTCTGTTACAAAGGCTTTGATTTATTCATATAAAAGATGACACAACTGGGACATTCTGAGGGGAACATCTACTCACCACAGTCTTTCCCTCATTTTGAGCGTCTCGATAGTCAGGATTAAGCTGAAAAACAAAGCAAAACTAGTTTTAAATAAAAAGTGCCAGTGAGAATGAACCTGGGCCAGTAAGTGACTCAGTAGATAAAGGTGCTCACTGCAAGCCTGATGACCTGAGTTCAATCCCTGCATTCTCTCTCTCTCTCTCTCTCTCTCTCTCTCTCTCTCTCTCTCTCTCTCACACACACACACACACACACACACACACACACACACACGTGAACCACACACACAAAGAAGAGTCCTGCAGTGGCCCCACTACTGACCTGTGACTCAGAGACCCAGAGAATTTGCCAAACAGAAGCTGACAGGAACAGCCTCCCTGTCTTGGATAAAGTGTGGTTAGGCCAAGCAGAGATCTATCTGTTCCTGGCCATAGGTTCATGATCAGAGATGATGCCATGCTCAAATGTGACAGGGCACAAAGTGGGGGCAGGGGGCTTTCTCAGAATGCTGTGAGACAA